CCATGACATGTCAACACTGTCCCTTCTCAACCTTGGGTTCCCTATTACCAGCTTTCCTGTCCCCTCCTGCCTTCTAGTCCTTGTCCCTGGACTGTTGTGCCCCATTAGTCTCGTTTTATTTTATGGAGCTGTCTCGATTAAACAATTATTTGTTGAGTATCTCTTATGCGGAGCCCTGGTGGCACCGTGGTTAAGAGCTTGACTGCTAACCAAAAGGTCGGCAATTCGAATCCACCAGCTGCTCCTTGGAAACCCTATGGGCAGTTCTACTCTGTCCTACAGGTTTTACCTCTTATGCATTAGGTGCTCTGATGCCAAGAGGAATGAAGTGGATCCTTCCCCTTTAGAATTTCAAACGTGAAAGGACAAATTGCGCTGTACTTTGGGAAGCTGTATCATTGGACATGCACATGGCTTTGCGAGCCCAGAAAGCAGAGTAACTAACTCCCCTTTGGTGATTCAGGAAAGGCTTCACAGAGGAGGTGGCATTTGAACAACTATGTCTAGATAGAGCCATCCTGTAATCACTGTGGATTTTGGCTGGCAAACCCAATCATAGAGCTACATTGTCCACTATTTTTTCGGAAGCCAGGGTCATTATGCTGTCATCGGTCCTAGTCTTGGAGTCCCTGCCATGGAAACCTATACAGGTTATATTGCCTCATAGTGAGGCCCTCTGACAATATTTAATATGCTAATAGGCTACAAAAGCCCAAAGCTGCCTTTCCAGTTGTTTTTAAAGCAACTCCATTAGCTTAACTAGAAAGCCAGGTAACCACTTTATTCGATCCCCCATGGCTCTCAATTGCATAAAGGAACTGGCCTAAAGAATAGCTTGGCTGGGGTTATGAAATTATTATGACTGGTTTTTAAATGCTAGCTCTTGATGCCTAAGGACAGTAAGCTGTAAACACATAGGGTGTGTCACCAGCGAGGAGCAATTTGGGAGGGAAATGGCTGTTGGTGCAGTTACACTCAGTAGGAGACCTTGCTGGCTTGCCCTGGAAGAACTGTGGCTGTTGGCATGCATCACTGACATTTCCATTTCCACTTTTCCAGTGTATCATCTTCCTCTTTCTTCTCAAACTTAGCAAAATCCCAGGTCAACTTTCCCTTTCCTTTCTGCTGATAAGGGGGGTGACGTCCCTTTCACAGGTAGCTTCTCCACCAAGCAGCTCATTGAATAGCTGGTGGAATAAAAGTGTCATAGCAATGAGTTTGCAGCCCAGCACCAAATGGCTGCTCCCCTTAAACCCCACTACTCTCAAGCCCTAATGAACAACGTTTAGTTTCCCCACTTCCTTCTCTTAATTGTACCCAGGTCACTGTGATGGTTTCTGAAAACCGTCCTCAGTTGACCTAAAGATTCAGCTACCGAATACTTTTCTGCTGTTATTTACCAAATTCTCTTGTATACTTTGTACTGATGCAGAATGTGTATGCAAACAGTGGCCTGGTCCTGCCTGTACAGAGCCAGGTGCCCTTGGAAGCAGCCCCGTGAGCATTGACTTGAGCTGAACTTGAGCACATAGCTTTATGTCTAGGCCTGGAACAGGGCAGGGTTGGGGCAGCCAGCTGCGGCTCCCAGGCCAGCTCAGCCCAGCCTGGTCTATGGCTCGGCGCTCGTCTTCCAGGCAGAAAGGCAAAGCAGCCGGTCTCCCCTTGAGTTATTTCTTTATGTTGGTGTGTAGTTATTTCTTTCTTTAAGCACACGCTCTCCCTTCAGAGAGCTGTGGAGATGTGAGAGGTGTGTGTGTAGGGGAGAGGGGGCTCCAGAGAGAGCTGGAATGGTACTGCTTTTCTTTTATAGCTCTGCATTCCTCATACAGAATGGTTTTTCCCTTGTTTTTGTTTCTCTTGAAACACCTGGGGTGAGGAAAACCCTCTGCACTGGCCAAGCAGAAGAAACAGGTCATATATCGGTTTGTTCTTAGGTATTTTAGGCAACCAGAATTCTACATCAGAAACATCTTGTGTAGCAACGGAAGGGCACATGCACTCCTTGGAGTATATTTTGTTGCTTTGAAATGTCTCCAAATGATTTGTCTTAAAGATGCTGATTGCAAAATCGGTTATCATAATTTATGAAAGGCATACCAGATGACTTTGTAATCTGAAGGGTTGTGCCTATTTCAAGGAGCCCTGGTAGTGCAGTGGTTAAGTGCTTGGCTGCTAACTGAAAGGTCAGCGGTTCAAACCCAGTAGCCGCTCTGTGTAGGAAATTGTGGCAGTCTGCTTTCGTAAAGATTACAGCCTTGGAAACCCAACTCTGTCCTCTAGGGTTGCTATGAGTCAGAATTGACTTGACAGCAACGGGTTTGGTTTGGTTTGTGCCTATTTCAAATAACTTAATGATGATATTTGGAGAAACCCTGTAGTCACTTGGGTGAGAGCTAGAAAAGGAGGAAAGGGATACTGATTTAGATGGTCCTTTGAGAAACCCTTCTAGGCCCATCACAGGGCTCTTCCCAAACCTCACTACACAACTTCTTATTCAGAAATCTTTCCTTAGCTCCCTTGGCCTCTTATGATCTTAGAGGACAACAGGGTTTCCATCTTCCTGTAAGAAATGGAAAGAGAGTTCCTTGAAATGTTTAAGAATTCTTCTTAGAGAATTCTGCTCATGCAGATTGATCAGATTGTATCCTGAAACCAAGGCATAGCTGGCCTTTTAGTGGACAGACGTTTTTGTTCTTCAGTGATTGAGCAGAATGTGTCTTCAATTCTGCCACTAATAAGCTGTCACTGAGTACAATATTTAATTTCTGAGCCTCGGTTCCTTCTTTACTATGGGCATGATGATACTTCCTTGAAGGTTTGATGTGAAGATTGGCTGAAATAATAGAAATATAAAGCACCTACTGTGCTGGGTAAGTAGCAGTCCCTTAGTAAATAGTAGTGATTTTAGTTATTATTATTACTGATAGAGCATGCTTTCAGATCTTAGAGCTCTCAGGGGAAAAGAGACCATTTCTTTGTAAATCTTCAGTTATCCCAGAACCAGTAGACACCCATGGGGTTCAGTCTCTGGGAGGCCCCAGACAAAACATTCCAAAGGAAGAAATTTGAGCAAACACCAGTTTCGTTTCAACACCTCTACCACAATGAGTACCACCCATGCACCGTCCCTCCCAATTCATCAGCTAAGAAGAATTGTTCTTTGTTTAAGCCAGTGTTTTCAACTGGCTTTCACTGAGTTCCTTATCGAGTTCTCAGTACAAGTGAGTCTATAAGGTATACGTTATTCCTGTTTTCTTCACGAGGAAACAGATGTAGAGGAAATAATGATGGGCTGAGCAGAAGTCAAACTCTGGTCTGCCTGACTTCCAAACCCAAGGCTCCACCGGGCCACCATTAGGCAGTTAGGAGCAATAGATGTTCTTGAGATGCATCACCTCAGAAAGGTCCCCTGCTAAGCTACTTAGGAAACAGTAGTCACTATAGCTGTTTCCTAGAGATTCACAATGTATGTTAACATACTGAAGGCTCCGATGAGTCCTGCAGTAAAGAAACCTGTTTAACCCTACCTCTTCTGGACTTATTTGATGGTGGAACCATTTTTACCTTACACCTAATCATAAACCACCTGGAACTACTCTTACACAAACACACTTCGGAAAACCTGGCACCAGGCTGAGCTGCCTCCTGATTACAATAATTTCTGATGTAAAAACAGATTATAACTCAGATACCTTCTGATGGTCAGTATAGTTTCCTCCCTTATCTTACCCTTTCATCTGATGAGACCCAGGAAGAGCCACCAACTCAGTCTTACAGACCTTCCCTTATTTGTGTAAGACCCCAAAACCAAACCAAACCCGTTGCCATCAAGTTGATTCTGACTCATAGCGACCCTATACACAAGCATACGCGACAGTGTTCTCCTGGAAAGGTAGTGGAAGGGG